GCAGATGAGAACTAACCCAGATAAACACGAACTTCTTTTTTTTTTTCTTAGGTTAACAATAAGGAAAGACAAGAAATAAGGACCTGTAAAAATATTTTGATAGCTCTTGCAATAAATGCAAGTAACAATACAGTATCAAAACTTGGGACCGCACCAGCAGAATTATTTTCCCTTGCAAAGTTATCATCAATTCTGAAGTGCAATGGAGGACATAACCAGCAGAGAGATACCAGAAGACAGCATCATGCATGGATGACACAGAGTGTTTCAAGCATAGCTCAGAAGTCCTGTATTGGTAAGGATGTTGGTGTATATTCTATACATAAACTTGGCAACATGCTGCTTAATCTTTATACTTTTAGTAACAGGTGATGCTTTTTTAATGAAAAGCAGCCAATCCCACCCCAAACCACCCCAGCTATCAGTCCCTAAGTACCCAAGGGTCTTGTTATCATGCAGACACCCCCTTTCCTGCATTTCCTCTTCCTCTAAGAGTGCATGAATAGAAAATTGCAAACATTTCACACTGCACGTTCCACTCCAAGTCCTGGATGAGGGGCCTGTTTATTCTATGAATATTGCACTTATCCGCTCATTGGATTTGATTTTTTTCTCAAGAATGCAGAGTATTTGGGAAAAAAATAGTAGGATACAACACAGGAAAATATGAGTTATTAACAAGCTAGCTATGAAGATCTAAAATTAAATAGTACTAGTTCTATTCTGTTAATACTAGTAATATGAAAATAATGAATGTTTATCAAATTCCCTTGTTTTTCATATAAGATAAAAGCAGTAACTTTCTTTTTAACTGAGGAAAGCAATGAATATATATTACAATAAAATACGATTCATTAAGTTCTGAAAGTGATGAAAAAATTATATAATGCCTTCGTCAAACTCTATAGCATCGTAACAGAAGAAGTCTTTGGGGTGTGTATCCATGAGGGCCAAATCAAATTTTTAGCTATGCCCATGCAGCCGTGAAAGTCCATCTTCGAGAGTCTAGCCATGACCCAGTTTCATTATTGTGTATTGGCTATTTTTGTCCACCTGGATTCAAAAGCTTCCTGTGGACACATCAGTTAAGTATCCCAGCATGTGCCCATTCTATCTCTTATCTCAATAAGTCTGGCTTGCAAAGGACTGGTAGTTATGACTACACCCACCCCACTGCAAGGTGTGAGAGCTAAAACACTTAACAGGAATCGCCTCCCATGGGGAAGGGCTGGTAACAAAACCGTATCACTGGCTGGTATGAGAAAGTCTTTTGAAAGGGGAGACACAAAGGAAACCAGCAATTAAACTTTTCAGGCATTATATAAACCTCAATAACGAACTCAGAAGTGCTCATTATTATTAAAGTTGCAGTATACAGCAAGACACAATTTTCACATTCTTAGATTTTGTTCTCTGTCATTGGAGTTTGGATTTTCTGCTGGTCCAAATTCAAGACTTTTTGGAAAGCACGGACAGCGGGTGAGAGCAACGTGGTGACAGCAGCCGCCTCTCCCCCCGGAGGAGGGCCCCCTTCAGCTGCAAATGGCTTTGCCCAAGCCCTGCAGAGCTCTTCCTCTTAATCTTGTTCAAGAATAAACCAGAAAAAGAGAAATTTAAACAGTACTACTGATTTCTGCATTGAGTGTTCACTGAGGTGTACATTACATTTAAATATTGCTCTTGATCCAGTGTCAGTTCTGAAAACTTAGTAAATAAAATTTAAGGCAACATTAACAGTTTAGAAAAGAACTAAAATGCTTCTAAGCACTACACTGTCCTCTGAAGCACCCTGCCAGGTTTTCCTGCCCTGCAGTCAGCTTTTCTGATTTAGCTTAAGGCCTTTCACTCTATTTCACAGCAAACGGTGGAAAGGGCTTGCTATTTCCTATCAGTGGAGCTGACCAAAATTAGCTGCTCGATGATGGAAAAAAAGAATTCTTTTCCTGATATCTTTCAGCTGAAAGAATTAAACTAAACCAATGAGAGATGCTTTGACAATGGTAAGATGGGATGGGGAAAATTGCATTTGGGGGTATTGGCTTTAAAAGTGCCCTTTTAAACACAAGCAGTCAAAACAGGCATCAAATAAAGAGAAGCTCAAACAAAAGCTTTCCCACCAGGCAGGGAGCCCAGCGTACCAGCCACTGGCCCACAAGCATTTGTAGCATCAGGTAGGTCATTTGCACCCCCTCCTTTTTGCTAGTGCAGGTGGGGGCAGGAGGAGGAAGGAGACCACGGCTTTGCAGCCCATCTGCAGGCTCTGATCTCTCCTCAGGAGGCCATGAAGCCTTTGAGATGGGATAAGGGAACAACTTGAGTCATGGGACACTGGGCTGCTGCTTGAGAAAACTCCGGCAGTACTGCAGGCACCCTCATTGTGTGCCACCCCCTTGCACCGCTTGGAGCTCAGCAAATCACCTCCCTGCAAAAGCCAGAGCTGCAGAAGCAACGTGAGAAGGGAGCTGTGGGACAGACTGACATCTGTGGCACAGACTGACATCTGTTACGGAGCGGGCCCGTGTTTCACGGGCAGATCCTGAAGCCTTCACGCTAACCTGAGCCTCACGGTGAGCCCACATCCACTGGGAGACCAGCCTCACGCAAGGCATGTGGCACCACAACCATCTGCCAAAAACAGCTTTGCCACCCCGAACCCTGCAAGGACTCCTGCACTTCAGAGGAGCTCTGGGCTCGGCTTTGCTGGATGCAAGTGCGAATATTTATAGTAGTCCAGGCTCTCCTGTCTGCGTGCCGCTTTCCTCTCCCTGGGTAGGGGAGTCATGCTGCACCGTATTCGGAGAATTCAGTGGCTCAATGCAGAAGATCTGGGAGCTGTGCTTTGACATCCCCCCCAAAGAGATGACCTAGTGGGAACGTCTTTAAACAAAACTTTAGAATATTTTAAATAATAAGTTAATTCTTAATAAATATGTGCTTCAAGAAAATGATAATTATATACTGCACCTTTAAATAATGCACTTAGTTCTCTGCATTGGCTTCCATTTTGGTTTTATTGTTAAAGTGCATTAATTCAAAATAATGAACCACTTCCGCATCATTATTGTTAAAATAAATCATAACGACATTAATACAAGTCACTAGGTCACTACTATTAGTACTGCAATCTAGCAGATAACTCTATGTATTGCTCTATTTAATACTGTCCAGCAGAAGAATATAATACTTCTATTATAATCTCACAACAGCTCCAGCAGTCTTTTATGGCTGCTACCATATTAGTACAACTAAAACTGAGAGAAGTATGAGCGACAGGGCCACAATGCCTCAGATAGACATCCAGTAAGATGTAGTTAACTGGATATATACATATGTATTTTATGGTAAGACGTTAAGGTACAAAGAGGACCCCGCACACTGTGATAGGAGCTGTTGTGCAGATACACCTCCTTCTCAAGCCACCACAATTTTAAAGGGATCCCAATCAAACAGCCTCCCTCCCCACGTGGATGCAGAGAGCTGCTCAAACCACAGCACTGTTCACAGCCAGTCCTGGCACCCTGGGTGTTGTTTCAGCTACCAAAAGGACATCAGTCAGGTTAGCTGTAGGCAACTCTCTCAGTGTTACCATGGAAATCAAGAAAAACCCCAAATACACACACACACAAAAAAAAAAGGAAAAGAAAAAAAAAAGACAATAACATACAAATTGTGTTATTTTTTTTTGGCAGAGAAACATCCCCAGTAACACACGGTATTGTTGTGCTTTTCTACTCAGTCTGTTGATCCCAGTTATTTTAAAGTCTTTATAACCTTTACCTTCCAAGCCAAACTGGTATGAAACTCTGGGGGGGAAAAAAGGGCATGTATCATTTTGTGCAAACCAGTAGTGAAATGGTCTGCCCCCTGCCCCTTAAAACAGATTTACACTTCTGCCTATTATTTGAAGGAACTAGATATTGATCTTGCGTGATTAACAAGGCCATTTAAAAAAAAAGGAAAAAAAGAAAAAAGCATGACTTCAAGTACAGTAGGAATTTAGCCAATGATGCACAAGAGTTGGCTATCTCGTGACTCCATATCCCAGACTTTTCCAATAGATGCTGTTTCTATTTCCCACCACATTACCCCCACCGTGTGTCATGTTTCAAAGCATGAGTTAAGAAAGGCAAACAGAAATGGTACTACAAAAGAAAGCTGCCTGGTTAGATGCTTTGTAGACCTAATTGCTTTGATATTAAATCTTTGAGCCTGAGAAGCTCAGGCACAATTTCCAGTACAAATGTACTTTTGGGATTCAAGTGGGAACAGAAACATGTATTAGACTCCTGCTTCAGTTTTAAGTCTCTTCTGGTAAAAGAAGACACCCCCCTCAACAAATAAAGTAAACCCAGAATGCACAGAAAATACAAAACACAGAAAAACAATTGCTCAAAAATATACAAATTAAGGATAAGCAGACTGAGTCTGATGGCTTTTTTTTCCCCCTCATTGTAAACACTGATGTTGCAGAAGGTTACAGCTATTTCTAACTAATACCTTGGTGGGCCCTACCAGCAGTCAGCACGTTTAGATTCAGACCAGATCACAAAAAACAAAAGACAGACATTTGACAGCTTTGTCTTTAGTGTCTTAAGGGACTTTTGTGCATTTTGATATTACGACAAGTTTTGAGAAACCCAACTCTGGGATGAGAATCCACCAGGACCACCAGGCATGAGTCAGGCACAGAACTGGACATGGAGCCTACAAAGTAATTAATGTGCTTAAGCATGGGGTTTGTAGGTTTGTTTTCACAAGCACCAATAGGCATCACTGCCTTAGAACACCTGAAATCCCAACTCAAAGAGCAAGACAAAACAAAAGGAAACAAAAAGCCCCCAACCGACACCACGCGATTGCCTTTTCCAATGAGTTAGCAGTATTACAACAAAGGACAGCTGAAGTCAGAGACCAAATCTCTCCACAACGAAAAGGCTCCAACTCTGGACCAACTGACTGTTGAGAACAGTTAGGAAAAAAAAATAAAAATTAACTTCTCCAAAGGATTAGAGTCCCTCTGTGTTTCAGAAAATTCCATTCACTTCTCATTGTGGAAATGCATCCAAAACTCCTGGGTATTCCACGTACGGACAAGAACGAGGAGAAAAGGAGCCAAGATTGTAAAACAAAGTTTGGCACAAAACTCCCCAAGTAGATGCACGTGTATTTCTCTCTCACAAAAGGCACACATTTGGTTTCCTATCTATAACGGGAAAGATGGGATGCCATACCCTGTTACACATACAAGATTATTAACAACTTCACAAAAAGACATGTGAGTATGCTGCATCTTCCTCATAGTTGTTTACAACACGTTAACCCCACAAACCTCTCCAGAACACAGCAGATTTGTCCTCAGCATAGACTCCTTTGTCCCTTTGTACAAACCGGAGCACAAGGAAACGTCTTTTTGTGTAGCAATTGTTTTTTCCACATGTACATAGCAGGAACAGTATAAATTAGGGAGATTAAAGATATTGCAATATTAGTTCTTTTTCTCCAAGTAATTTGAGGGCACCCAGCCTTTGAATGGCTTCACACCATTCATGATCTGGCAGTACCACCAGCCATTGGGGTTCCTTTCAAGGACCTCCATGCAGACACCTTCCTGAAACCCTGCAGTCTCCTCATCCCCTTCATAGTCTGCAATGGAAACATAGATGTCCTTGAGATTGTTGTGGATGAACTGGGATTTCTCTATGGGCTTTGGCCTGACTGTGGACACAGGAATCCCATTTCTCTGGGTAGGGAGGTTGGAGGTGGTCTCTGAGCCCTCTGTACCTGACCGCTCAGGCTGCTTTCCCTTCCCATCGCCAGGCTGTGACCATGCGTTGCTGAAGGAGGAATTTCGACGGACGGTCCTAAGGTGATCTGTAGTTGTTAAAGACTCATTTCTGCGCAAGGAGCATGACAGGTTGTTATCCTTTGGTGGTGGAGACACAAACACCGACTGTGGCCGGACGGCAAGTTGCCTCACCCCATTCCTCATTTTGACTGGCCCTGATGGTTTTGAAAAACCACCGGGAGGTTTGCTTGGGATGGGTGGTGTTGCACGTTTGCTCTGGTTGATGGTATTCAGAGCCTGAACCCTCTTCTCTATCTTCTCTAGACTGTTTGACTTGTTCTCATTTTTCCTGTTCCTGGCAAATGAGGTATCAGTCTCTGCTGTTGTGGTTTCTCGCTGGTTATCAGGGAGAGCCAAATAATGGGAAGGAGCCCAGCCTTCCATGTCTCCGTATTTCAGGTACCACCATCCACTGGCTTGTTTTTCCAGCACTTCCACTTCTGCTCCTGCTGGGAAGCAAATTTCAGAATCCTGTACCTTTTGATATGAGTCAGTGGTCACATAGAAACATCTTGAGTCATTTTCTTGCTCAGTTTTGGCTGGATGACTAGGGCAGAAAATGCCACGGGAAGGGGCTGTAATGAGATCAGCCGAGCCCCTCCTAACAGGATCGTCTTGATTCTCAGAAGCTGTGCGTGGGGGGCTCTCAGACTCTTCACTTCTCGAACCTTTAAGTCCACCTCTGAGTTGCCCAGTTGGCCTCAGCTGACGCCTCAAAGTGCTGATATCCATCTTTTCTTGGCTCTGAGAGTCTGCCTTGTTCAGGAAGGGTTTGGGTCTAACGATTGGCTTTGCTCTAATGGAAGGACTCTGCTCAGGCTCCTTCTTCATGCTAGTTCTTGACATGGTACGTAAGCCAACGTCTGAAGCTGACCTTGGTTTTGTCTCCTCACTCCTGGAATAGTGACATTTTCCAAGATCGGGTTGGATGTTTTTGTCTGTCTGGATGTTTTTGAGCTTCACAAGTGATGATTTAGGAGAGCTGGAACATGGAGAATTCCTCCGGATTAGGGAGAGAGAGGAGCTTTTCTGAGAATCAGAGTCTCCACTAGATTCCTTATTAGACAAAGTATCTTCCACATAACGTCTGAATCCCTCGTTCTCATAGATGGTCTCTTCTTCATGAGCAACGTCTTCTGAAGACTCTCCTACTTTGAACTTTGCTTTCTGAAGTGATGACACAGGAGAGGGCTTGATGGGCTGAAACAGTCGTTTCTCAAGAGTGCTTTCTTCACGATGACTTTCACTCACTTCACACTCGGAGTCAAAGCCAAAAGCAGGCACATCATACTCAGGTTCTTCGTATTTCAGCTTGTGGGGAGAGTCCTGGGTATCTCCTGAAGAAACAGTTCCAGAAGTTGTTCCTTCTTCAGAGTCTTTTGGTTTACTGGGAGGTGCTGGGGGAGGAACTTTTGGGCGGGTTAAAGTACTGGTTCTTCTGTTTAAATTTGGTTTCTTCCTCTTGTCAATGTAAGATGCTGGAGCCCATCCCTCCTTCTCTCCAATCTGCACGTACCACCAGCCACCAGAATTCTTTTCAATAACCTAGGAGATGACATGGAATATGTTACTAGACAAAAATGTCAACCAATTGTTTTCCACTCCTCCCCTTTCAAGCCAGTCTCCTGCAGCAGTCAAATATGAGCATTTTCCAAGCTGCACTGTTAAGGCTCACCTCTGCTTTCTGTCCTCCACGAAAGCTTATGCCATCAGAGATACAGGACTGGAACTCTGCAATGGTGTAGTATTCCACTTCCACGGAGGGGGGCTCTGGTGGTTTGGGCAACTGAAAACCCTACGGCAAAGTTTCGTTCAATTAAACCAAAGAAGCAGTGGGTTGAATAGCAGTACAAAAAAGATATTTGCCTTTATTCACTAAATCTCTTCCTTCTTCCTGTCCTACTTCCTAATGATAACTTCCCCATTCTCCAGAATGGAACCTGATGTGTTGAGAGGGGCGACAAGAGAGAAGCCTTTCAAATACGCACTGTTCATGTCACCTTCAGCAGCTATTAAAACTGTGATAATCGCTGTGTGAACAGTAAAACATTTTACTGATGGGCCATAAAGCATTAGCTGCCATTCCAGTCACAGTAACAACAGCCCACTTACTCTGAGATTTTGTCCAGAAAGTCTCAGTTCTGGATGGGTTGCCACAACTGCAGAAAATTGCATTGCAGCAGACCCATAAAAGATTTGGCCTATCATCAAATATACTACCTTCAAGTATAACCTTAATTGATTATTGCTCTTAATCTGCTGCTGGATTTTTAAACAATCTGAAATAGTTGTATGAGCTAATGGGCACCTGTCATAGCAAGAAACAAGGATAATATCATAGACCCCTGCGAAGAGCTTTGCTCAGCTAAAATGTTAGCAGAAAGGAAGGACTTGACTATAGGATCAAAACATTCCAGTTCCTCCCTGTAAGCAAACATCCAGAACCTCTACTCAGTCCCAACACGACCTGCATTTAAATTGCACAGAGGCTCCACAAGAAGCAGGACACTTCTATTTACAGCCATTCTGGCAGCATACCAGACTCCTTTAAAAGCTATGTGCCTTTGCATTAAGCTGTCACACTTTAGAGTTTGTTACAACTGTTTTTAAAGTGATGGTCATGATAAGAGTCCTTTCAGGAATTTCAGTATCGAAAACTTCTCAGATTAGTACATTGCTTATCTACAGAACAACTAGATGATGGTGAAGCTTCATAACTTTGCACTTCAGTTCTAATATAAGAACTGCAGTATATGTCAAGATCTCTTGAACACAGGTCAGACCTGCTACAAGCAGACACAGGATAGCCAAAGACACAAAGTAATCCTAGGTCATGAATGAGAGAAAAGCGAACAGCATACTGTGCTTCACTCACACGCTCCTCTGTTTCCAAGATATCCTTGTTGTAACTAACAATCCATGTTTTATCACGCACAGTATGTGGCATCTCACAGAGAATGCATCACTGCACCTTAGGAACCATGTCCAACAATGTTATAATTGGATGTTTCTGCACTATAAATGCTGAAATACAGCAGAAGTGCAGCATAATAAAACGTCTTCAGATAATAGGATGGTTTGGATTAAATGAAGATAATTGGAAACAGCAGACATGTTCAGGGTTTCACATATATTATCACTGTTATTTTTAACATAGGATCCAGTGAGTAGACTTGCCAAAACAAAGTCTAATTGAAAATAATGTAAAAGAGAAATAGGAAGAAAACACTAATATGCTATTCATCTAGTTTGTTAAGAGGCATTTCGGATGACACAGCTGCTCACAAATAGCACAGCAAAGATTAAACAGTACATGCTACCTAGTTATAAACAAGTTATTACCATGACTTTTGTGCAAATAGACTACTGAGTTGTTCCTATCTGAAGATGACAGTCCTAATCTTAATTTGGTCCAAACTTCCAGAATTCTAGCTTTGAGGATAAACAAGCATAGGAGGTCTCATTCCTGTAGCACGTGTCCTTCTGTAAGATCTCAAGTAATTTTAAACACAAGACTGAACATTAGCCACCTCAAAGATGGTGGCAATGGAAGAAGGGGAGGCATTCTCAGCTGTTAAAGACAAGAGAAGGTCAAAAGATCCACTTTGGGTTAAAGACACCTATAGAATTTTAAGCTTTGAGTCAGCCAAATGGGCTTTAACGCTCCTGCACAGAACACAGCTAGCACCTTTGGGATCTCGCTTGGTCCCCATGTGTTGCCTGGTCTAGTCGAGAAGTGGCGTCCCTGCCCATGATAGGGAGGTTGGACTAGATGATCTCTAAGGTCCCTTCCAGCCTAGGCCATTCTATCATTCTATGATTCATACTATGATTCTCCCTTCAGTTCAATACCTGCTTAGTTGGGGCAACATTTTGAAAACCAGAAATTCCCAATTAACATTAGGATATCCAGAGGCCTGCTCAATACTTAAACAATAAAATGAACAGGCATGCAAGTAAAGGATCTCTCGGGTACCCTCCATATCTTGTACAGCTGTAGAAAGTCTCATAAAGCACTGCACACCTACCCCACTGCTAACATGTACCATAAACCAATACAAACCAGACTAGATTCTCTTCGTGGGGGTGGCCTTGTTCTTAGATTTGGAGAACCTGGGCAGAAAAGGGAAAAGGGAGAGTTCATTTAACTTTGCAAGTACTGCAACACACATTTTTCAGCAGCTCTCTGCTGTTACACACTTTAAGAATATTAGAAGTCAGTATTTGCAATATTTAAGGCATCTCTATAAAACAAGATAGGAAACTATGAGGGTATATTAGAAATATCAAGGTAACTTAGCTATTCATCTCAGCTAAGCCAGCAAATTTAAGAGGAAATCACTGCCAGAAAGTAGTGGATTGTATTTTCTGCTGGAACTGGCCAGTACCATTGAAGATAGGCCAGCAAAGAATTGGCCTAATACCTAGTTTTCCCCCCAGTAGTAAAAACAATCCACTAAATTAATAACACTCACACTGTCCTCTATCATAGTATCTTGCTATTCCTTGCAGACTGGCATTATCATCTGCATTTTGCAGATAAAGTAGTAAAAATACAGCAACCTGGCCCTAGGAAAAGAGCAGAACAAATACAAGAGAAGAAATAGGCGGACTCCTTGATTTTAACCCACCATCACATCATTTCCATTACTTGGAGTAAGGGGCACATTACAAGGTGTTCAAAAGAAAAAGAAAAAATCTTCTCTGGGAAAAAGGAAAAAACAACATATACACATACTGGCTAAGATAAAAAAGAACATGCCAGCACTTGAATAAAGTGAAGTTAAATTTTATCACTGCTAATGAAGGACCATGTCCTGGAGTCCCTGTAGATCTAGAGACAATGCAAAGATCTGCTCCTGTGGCCTCAGCTAAGGCCAGGACACACGGCACCTTAGCTGACAGGTAATGCCAGCCCTGGAAGGTAGAAACTAAGAATTCATTGCAAGCCAGTGGAAACCCAGGTGACTTTACTGCCTTACTTATTTGAGCTCTTTGTGGCGCTATCCTTGCTATGGCTGGAGATCCCTGGGCCAGTTTGGAGGCCTGCTTATCTGGGGTCATCATGGCATTGCCATTGGAGTCATTGCACAGGATGGGCAAACTGATTTCCTTCTTGCTGATATGGGTTTCTGCAGTCTCATTTTCTGCTTGAGTTTCTTTATCAGTGGATGACTTCTTGTTCAGCAAGATGTTTCCTATGATTTCCACTGGCCCAGTTAAGTTCTTTTTCCTAGATGGAAGATCATCTTTAGCCTTCTTCAGATACGAAGCTGGGGCCCATCCCTCTTTGCCTAGATACCTGCAGATGCAAACGAAAACATCATCACATCAAATACAGCCTTCTCAGGCACTTCAGGTATAACAGCTAAGGCAAAAGTGATGGATGATAACATAAAATCTGCAGTTCTTGATAAGCTTTTGTGGTCTCCATCAGTTACCTGTTGATTAGATTTATCAAAGTCAGCTGAGCTAGCAGTGAACTGTGGACTGCTGTTAAAGCCACTTACCCAAAGAAGGAGTCTCTCTGGATAAGAAATAGTTACTCATGATGCAAAGTGCTTCACCAGTTTGTTTTACGCCATGCTTGGACAGTACCAGGCGAACTCAGTACCTCCCATACAGCAAAAAAGCAAACCAGTAAGTAAAATATTTTAATAGTTTTCATACTTCCTAGTGGCAACTCAAAATGGGAAAGCGCATACAGAGCCACTACATCTGCAGTTTATAAGGCCCTTGGGCAAGCCTTCCCCCTTGCAATTATAAAAAATGCTGCCCCTCCTCCTGTAACTTCCAGTCCTGTATGATCAACTTCTCTGATGGAGAAAACGAGACTCAAACTACTGCAGCTTCCTCTAGCACTGCAAGATCAAGAAAAAACTTGACTAAAGAAAAATGGCTTTGATGGAGACTCATTTTCCTGAACAAGCTCAGGGCTCTTTGAAGGAATAAACTGGGAATCTGAACAAACACCTGGATCTAGTAGATGTTCCCGGAGCACCAGCCTGAGCTGCTCATGCTACACTCCAAACTGAAGTCATTCTTCCACAATTGGGCTTTTGGGAAGATGGTTTTTCTAACTCCTACCATTCCTAACACCTCAGCAGGGATTTCAGATTACAATCAGACTCCGGGGAGGACCACGTAGATGAACTCTGCTTTCCCTAATGAAACTCTAACTTGCTTCAGAGAGAGTCACTGAAACCTTTCTCTCTTTAATCTCTCAAGATACCTAAAGCAGGCGCTTGAACTCCAAAGTGGGAAAGCAGGCGCCATTAAAATCCTGGTGCTCAGGAAGTCTACAGGAAATACAAAGGTTAAAACAGTAGGACTTTAAGGCTCTGTAATGAAAACAGAGACTCATTAGACAGCAGAGGAAGGAGCTGGAGGGGGGCAGGAGAGGTGGGGAGTTATCAGCAAATCATTCCCCAGCAGATGAGTAACTTTGTCATGCCCATACTTGGATTCTGAGGTTTGCCATGGGATTTCTGAGCCAGGGCACACTGTGGGTTCATTCACCACATCCAGACACTCCAGAGTGTCTGTGGGACTCTATGGGGAGAGCAGGAAAATGCAGAGTAGGTTTGCTTCCCCAAGCTTCTTCATTATTCTTTCTGTACAAAAGAAATGCAATTGCTGTACTTAACAATGACCACAAGGACCTTTTTATCCCAAATACTGTCTTTTCCTCCCCTCCTATCTAGATCAACCATGATACTAGAGATGCTGCTTCTCTCTGCATATGAGGGGGCTGGTTAGCTCAGTCAGTTGAGTGTGGCGCTAACAACACCAAGGTCGCGGGTTTGATTCCTGTTTGGTCCCCATGTGTTGCCTGATCTAGTCGAGAGGTGGCGTCCCTGGCAGCAGGGAGGCTGGATTAAAATAATCTCTAAGGTCCCTTCCAGCCTAGGCCATTCTATGATTCTATGATCTGCCTTCTGCCACACATGAAGGCACAAATATGTCATCTCCCCTGCTGAGAGAGTTTAGCAACAATTTTTTCCAAAGATTCTGGTGTCAAAGGAAAGCATTTCAACAGCTCTGAGCTTTGTTTGCTGCATGGAGTCTAACAAGAAGTGGCAAAATGGTAATAAGTTGATTCGACTTCCAACAGAAGTACTTGGACTTCACACAGCATCCAGCTACTGACACTATATCAAGATGCAATTTGGATCTACTCAATCCTGTCCCCTTTGAGGCCTTTCTGATAATCCTCAAATCAATCCAAAATAATAATAAGAGGCCTCAATATGTGCCTGTGTTCCCCATTCTGGCATCTCTCAGTGCCATTTTCCAGCCCTGAAGACTTTTGACTTCACCCCCTTTTGCAGTAGATGTCCCTTTTGCAGAGCTAATGACCAATGTTTTCTCCTGCTGAGCTAATGACCAATGCTTTCTCCTGCCTATGCATCAAGGAAGGTTTTTTTAAAGGACATTAATAACTTTTCATGTTCTGGAGATGTTTCCATCTGTGAGAAAGCCACATTAGCTGACGCACTAAGCACTCCAGTTCAAAGGTTACTTTCAACAGAGCTTGATTGTGCAAAATCAGCAAGAAAAAACAGTTTACATCCATCTTAGTTTGTGGGAGACTTAACATGTTTAAGATCAGAATGGCAGCCACACGCAGGTTCTGTACTGGCTCGTTAGTTCTCCTGCCAACTGTACGCATTTGGATCAGCCCATATAACCCCACTGCTTCAGACACCTCTGAGCTTACATAGTTTCTCCCAATGAATAGTAGCAGCAATAGCTAGACAGTTAACAACTCTGGGCAACAGAGAGGCTGCTGCTGGTTATTTCTTCCTGTGAGTAAGTACATTCAACTTGAAGTTAATGCTGAATCGTAGTTGCCAGCAACTGTCAGTTTATTTGCACAACATCACAAATAAAAGCTAATTATATAAGTCAAATCAGCTTACATTTTTCACCTGAGTTCTTGAATTTGGTAATCTCAACACCTTTTGCAAACATCATCTTAGAAGACTACTCCATCTCCCCATTTTACAGGTGAAAGAACTAAGGCAATTGCTAATCAGCTTCACAGAAATCCTGAACCCCTAACGATCTTCATTTCACATCTCAGAGTTGAATCACAAGTAACATTCCTTCATTTATATTCACAGCCTACTGGAGACATTTCAGTGCCGCTAACACCTCCCAGCCATACCTCATTCACATGGTCTGAGGCTCAGAACGAACCACAAAAAGAAGATGCAGGCAAATAAAAAAAGCTTTACTTAGCATATTGCTATTTACTTGGCCTGCAATCCACTGGGGCACCGTGAGATTACTTCTAGTTGACAGTAATTGATACCAACTAAGATCTAAATAAGGAATGCTACTGTCAGCTGTGATCACACCAGGAAATACACAGATCCACTGAACACAGTAGAACAGTAAGAAAGGATTCCAGGTCAGAGCCTTTCTTTCACTTATACAGAGTCTCAATGAGGTTAAAAAAATAATTAAAAATAATCATAATGCACACAGAACAAAATAAAGAAAGATACCAATATTGCTTCTAGCTTCTACAGCATTGAATTGTGAGGGTTGCAGAATTAGGTGCAGTGATTTGGTTCCCCTGTAATTCCAAAACCCTCCCTGTTTATATTACATGAAGGAAAAAATGGATTCAAACCATAGGAATGTTAAAAAAAATCAGAAGTGCCTCTGTGAGTCTGAGAGTCACATCTGCTTTCCAGCTCCAGAGCACTGGAATTACTCCAGAGGGAAGCAAAAAAAAAAAAGAAGAAAAAAAAAAGAAGAAAAAAATAAGAAGGACAGGAAATGAGGATCAGCACATGGCCAGGAATTTGGGGAAATTACATATTTAAGGTGGAACAAGCTAATGTCTTTAAGGTGGATATCATTTGCGAGCTGCTGGATTTGTTTTTATTTCTACGCATTCATGTGTGTTCACAGCCCAGCAGACAACAAGGCAGCAGGATTCAACTGTGGTCTCCTCCTGCTCCCTCTCCCCTCACGCTCACTGCAGGAACAAATAGTTGCTCATCTTAAAGCACTCAATAATCAGAAGAGCGTATTTCTGCAGGAGGGGAATCCTTTTCTGAGTGGTACCTAACAGTATTCAGACCAGTTGAAGAAAAAAGAGCACAAGAAGTTGGACATCAGCTACACAGGCTGTAAAGGACTGGCCTACAAGGATGGATCACCATATCAGCATTTCCAAGTGTTGCCCACAGAAAAAAACCCCTAAGAGCTGTTTAATCCTCCAGCAAGACTGCATGCAGCACAGTGCCCCAGAGCAGCAGAGAGGATGGTGGCTGAGACCCAACACACTTGTCGCACACACATGGGGAGTACCTAAACCGCTTTCAGCAAGAAGAAGGGTTGCACAACTCAAAATGCCTCTTACAAAAAACACAAGGGCATGCTGCATTCCCCAGCTAACAAGGGGTGGGCTGAGGCACCCACTCTGCTTCCAGCCACTCAAGCCACTGCAGCAAGTGTCACCATCCAACAGAATGCACTTCTGTTCTACAGAAAAATGTGTGGTTTGGGTTGGCCCAAAAGGAGTGTGTGATGAAAAGGTAATAACAAAAAAAAAAACCCAAAAAGAAGAAATCCTGCTTATTGTAGAACAGCTAATATGTCAAAGGGGAACCTACAGTAGCACCAAAGGTACATGTCAGGAGGGGAATATCAAAATAAGCTAAAGATGGCTTGCAATGTTTCTCCTCTCAGAAGAACTATGCGCTCTTGATTCCTCTGTCTCCAACTTTGGATTTCACTGCTGTGAATGATTAAAGGAGAAAAAAATGTGACCTGACCAAACCCAGGCATTTCTGAGCTCCTATCTATAGTGCCTTCCTGGCTCCACTACTATCTTTATTAGCCTATTCCCTCTATGGGAGCATTAGACAGAATTAAAAATAAAATAATTTTTCTAAGTAAGGGACATGAAGAAAAACAACATTGCTTCACTCAGCATTTTCATAGTCCTCATTCATAGCTGATAAATCAAGCAGAATTCAAACAAAAGCAAGTTATGGCTTGGAGAGGGAAAGGTGAAAAAATAATCACTATAATTACAGGCTGAACGGAAAAAAAGATGACTAGATAAGATGTTTTGCATTGCCCAAGAGATAAACCTCTGATTTTAAGCTACTTGTTGTATCACATTTTGTTTAAAAAGAAATGGGATGTCACAGCATTGCCGGGTTCACACACAGATACAAAACAAAGGACAGAGTCATGGAAAAGCACCAGAACTTAAGTCCTGCATGAACCTAGATGAAGAAAGCTCTCATTAAGTACTCAACCTTATATCACTATCTGCAGCACATCTAACTTACTTTCTCCCAGAAGCTTTTAAAAAGGGGATTCTGAAGTCACAATTCTCCTCTATGACTGCCATTTCAAATACATAAAGTTTGATATACACTGATAATGTCACCTGCCCTTGGAATCCAGTCCTCTACATGAGAAATAGCCAATGTGGACAGGCAGAAATCCGGCAAATCAGTGGAAATCATCAATAAGTTTGGAAAAGGGCTATAGCTATCAAAGTGATCTCTTATATCGCTGAAAATAGCACTACCTGCCCAAAACAGCTCAAGGGACCACAATCAGCCTTTCAGCATTGCTATAAATAGATTCAAACATGTCGCAGAATAACTCTTAAACTGCAAACACATTAAAATTACACACAACAGAAAGCCTTGTTAGGTCTTACAGATCTTAACTCAGATATGGGCTTTTAACTTGAAGGAACTAAAAAAAAAACACCAACAAACAAGTTCAGGAATTTCCCCGCTGGAACAGTCCACAGATTTTGCAAACACTGTAGCCTTACTTTATTCACCATTGTATCATCTTAGCCTTTTCTTTGCATTTCTTCAAGAGGCATTATGAACAATTTGGGCTTCCTTGCCCAACTACAGAATTAAACGCTAACATTATGTGAATGATCAGAAAAGCTCATTGTCACAGGTTCTGCAGCGATCTGGCTGCGCAGCTTGTTTACCTTATGTACCACCATCCTTCCAGGTTCTTTTGGATGACCTCCACGGTGACCCCTTTTTCGAACCCAATCTCATCCTTCCCCTGGCTGGCGTATGGCTGGATAGTGACATATTTCTCTTCTAGTGAGGGGAGAAAAGGCAACATCAGTTAGGGTCAGAATTAGTCCAGCTGTTTTTCTGTTCTCCTTGCTTTTAAACCGTTATGCAGTGATTACGTGGAGCCATTACAAAAGGCGGAGCCCTGCTCAGGGGCCCACTGATTATTTATGCTGACGACATGATAGATAATCAGCCCCTTGCCACTACCCTGCTGCTGATAATCACAAAGTGTTTCCATGCCAATAATGACACAAAGTCCCCAGAGAGCTTCCCCCCTTCTTCCCGCCCCCTGCTCCAAGTTCCTCGAGCGGGTAAGGGAGAGGATTTCAAGCTGGACTTAACTCCCATACTGTAACTCGACAGAATCAACACGGCTGCCAAATCAGCCAAGCATCACCGCGGGAGCTCCAGCCAGTTGGCTCTGTGAACACGCACATGGCTGCACAAGGCATTGTGTTACTTGAAACCCAAGCCCTGCATCCCAAGAGGGACTGATCCTTCCCAACTCAGAGGGGCTAGCCCATCACTGCTCTCCTTGTACCTCCCAAACAGCACAGGTCTACAGCAATGAGCTTGAAAGAGCATTAAAAAGGTGCTAACAGAATAAAAGTATTTTGCACTTGACAGGAGCCCACACAGCATTTGCTTTTGTGGGTTACAAATTGTTTTGCAAACATACTTTTGCTAGACCTCACTACAGAGAAATACACGTGGCAGTGGTAAAGGAGGGCCAGAATTAAGACACATACTGCAAAAGCACAGGCTAGATTTCAGGTATTTTGCAAAAACGTAGCATCTCAGTTCATGTCCAGCATCTATCCCTTTCCCAGCCAGGCAGAGGTGAGCAAACTTGCTGAGAAGCCAATGAGCAGAACAGAACAGACACTTTCTCACCATCATCCTCCACCCACCAAGAGGCATTTGCTGCAGTATTTCCATTATGCTCAAAGTCAACCTTTTTCTTCGTTAGTGTAAAAAAATTACAAGTGGTAATTCAGGTTTTCAATACAAGCTTCACTCTGCAGCAACAGACATGGAAAGTGTTACCAAACCTCTCTCCTGAACCCAAGCTACACTGCCTGTAACAGCATGGGTTTCTGTAGCTGTCAAGGCAATAAAGCAGACCTCAACCAGCCTTTCTAGCACTTTCTGCTGGCAGTTCCAACAACACACGGCCAGGAACAAACACAAGGTTGTCAGTGCACAGGAACAGGCAGGAAATCAAGTGAATCCAGAGCTCCTGATCACTACAGAACAAAGGAACTATGAAAAGGTTGCAGCAGCTTGAAGCAAACACTCTTTGGAGAGAGTGAAATAGACCCAACCATCTGTTTTTGCGGCTTGACTGCATTTTGTTGCTGAGCAAAGCATGGAAACTTTAAAGAAAAAAACAACAACAAAAAAACCCCCAACAAACCTTACTGAGACAAAGTAAGAAATGATACCTCAGAAAGGGGAAAAAATGTTGGCAGAGCATCTGATGGCAGAAAATTCAGCAAAGCTACATCTCTGAAGTCAACTTCCCTCAATGCATTGCATTTGGATCCTTCTAATTCTGATGGGGTAAAATCTGTCAAAGCCTTTGCCTCCAAGAGGAAAATACTCTCTCCTGCTCTCCCCTGGGAGGGCTGCTTTAACTGTTTTAACACTGGTAAAGAATTCCAGTGGTTGTAATTAGCACCATCAGGATATGACACCTTCTTCCCAGAAATACTCTACTACAAGATGGGACCTGACAAATGAAACCCAGCTAATGAAACCTGGCTTCAAAGTTATAGCACAGTTTTCCTATCTGGGTTTCTGCTCTGTGTGGCAAAGGCAGACTCATTTTTCCTCTGTTTCAAGTGACTGCTGCTGAAGGTGTCACATGCCCAGTTTCCACTGCATGCAAGGCCCCAAGCACTAAAACTGAACTGCAGAAGATCCCTGGGCAGTTTAGATCTCATTCCTGAGAGGAGAACGCCAAGGGAAAGTTCAGGTGTGCTGAGCTGCAGTGCCCAGATACGCATTGCTTCAGACAGTTCCAAGGATGTTTCTAGTACAGTAATAAAGGAGCTAAGCCCCATGTTTGCTGGGTGTTGGAAGATCTTCCTGCTTTGTCTCTTCCTCAAACCAAAAAGCTACTTTATAACTCAGGGCATTAGAATTCACCCTTGCAACTACAGTTAAAATAGAAATTTCTCTGTTTATCTTATTTTTCCTACACATAAACAGTAGACCCTTCTGCAGCAAATGCCAGCTATTCAGCTCCTTTTGCTGGGCAGAGTGGTCTCACTCTTCAAGCATGTGACCTCTCTTCTGCAGAGAAGCCATGAGTGAGATGCTCACTGCTAAAATTTCATCACAGCTTTCCAAAATCCTGCTTGAGCAGGACTGCTTCCCTGTGAGAAATTGAGACAGTGGTCATTCATAAAGCCCAACAGCATTTGAGTCTAATCATTCAAGGGAAATCAAAGTTTGTGACGTGGGTCCTTTGCAAACCAGGATGTAATCACCTTCCAAACATTAGATCCTTTCCTATCACAGGCAAATCCACACTGTCTCTATTCCAAACACAGATGAGTGGCTTGCCAGGGAAAACGACAACAGATCCATGCAAGCTACTACAATAGCCAGCAACTTCTGAAAACAATTTCGGGGCCTGCAGCTATGCAGGGTATACATCACTTCTCTACCAGTCCATTACTGCCTGCCTTCCTCCCAGCCACTGACTCCTGCACTTCCCTTACAGTTAGTTTCAAGGTAAGGCAGAAGAGCAGAGATATCCTCTAATCTTCTCATTCTGGCTGAAACGGCCCAGAAAGGACCATACTGCTGAGGTGGCACGTTGAAAAAGTGGCTGCCAGCTGCACGGGGAAGCCCCATCCCCAGCTGCGAGCCCTGAGCTGAGGAGAGACTGTTCTCTTCAGCAACACTACCCCCCAGGGCAGAGATTACTACTTTACTTGTTGCTGGTCTCACCTTGCTGCCTTGCACACACAACACTCAGTAACACCCATCAGTGGCTTTGAACAAGCAGAGACACTGGCCCACTCTAGCAACTGAAACGCTGACTTGCTAAGGAGAATGTTGCCTTATCCACATCCCGTGCTATTGGGATGCACAGGCAAGGCTTTTCTGAACTGCCACTGTCTTATTCTGCCCATGAGCATTGTGGACGTGTTCAGTCCCGTGGCTTTCAATTCCAAGCTACCGCTCTTTGAGAGGAAAGCCCTCCAGGTGACTCCTCCCGATACAAAGGAAGGGGGGCAAAAAACTGCAGGGATGTAGGAAGGGGAAAGGAGAAAGTTCTCCCTTGAAGTAAGACAATCCAAAGTATTAAAAATTCACTTAGAAAAGAGGGTCCTACAATGTTTTTGTTTAGCAGTTCTATCTTTAATCCTACACATCAAAATCAGGAAGTCACTATTACAATTTCCCCTTAAAAAGTGCTTCCACAGCAAAAAATATAGCCATTTCCAAGATTACACATGTTTAATTTCTTTCAGTAGTGTACAGGACACCACAAACATACATGAGGTTTGTAACTTAAATAGTATTCTGGAGCTATAGGTCCCTTTGCAACCAAAATGTAATTCTGTTTTGTTCCTCAAAGACTATCTCTAGCCAGTGGATGTTTTGCATAAACCAAGATTTGCTGAAGGAAGCAGCAGAGCTTTCAGTGGATGTGTTGCTTAAGAGGACTGACATAGCATTCAGCGTATCAGATTACTATTCAAAAGTCTTGAAGAGAAGATATTTGACACTTCACGACTGATACATAAAGTTACTGGAAAGACTTAACACAAATAAATGGTTTCACGAGAGGATTGCTAAAGCATCAGCCAACAGAAAGACACTGCTTCCAGTTACACTGAGAAATCTGGAAGATCATGCTGGTCTCATTCAGACACTATGACCAGCAATGGTATGAAACACGAGCCAGTGAACTGTCCCAGACCTACCATCAAAGCTGTTGTGCCCAGATCTGCAGAGAATACAAAAGTGTTTAAATTTTATTAATTAAATTTTGACTGAATGATCGCCAGCAACAAAAATACAAACAAAAGTATAATTTGTATTCCCCAGCTGCAGCTTCTCTTACATCCACTTCACCATCAAGGTCAAGTGGGCAGAATAAACTTTAGTACACGCTATGAAGCACATACGCCAGCTAAAAGGCTGCACTTCAGAAATAATGGGATGAGGGTCCTACTCCTCTTCAAGATGAATATGACACAAAGGCACCTCTGTTTTTAGCGTGTGAGACCCAGAGATCTTCTAATAGCTCAATTAGCCAACTTGACTTTTATTTCTTTACTTCTAATTTGCAGGTCAAAGATACCTTCCCCAGTTGAAGGAGGCACCTCTACTAGCTGCACTAGTAAATCTGAACAAGGCATGCATGAAGAAGCAAAGCCTGTTTGACAAAGAGCTATGATACAAGTCTGTCACATCACGTATTATTCAACTACAACCCACTTAGCTTAGGAGGAAAGGATTAGTGGGTGTCATTCTCCCTCCTCTCCAGACACAAACACTATTTAAAAAAATGCACAACAAGAATTTCTGAACTGTTTGGACTATCCAGCCAATACCACCCACTCATAGCTGTACTCTGCCCAGCCCTGCCAGCCGTAGTGGCAGCTCAGTGCTCAATCCACTAATTATTCCACAGCCTCAATTCCCTATCAATCTTTCTCCTCCTTTTTATCCTCCTCAAAGAAAGGCAAGCTTCTGTTTTACTCTGGTTCTACCTAAAGTCTCCTGAAGAAAGACAGTAGAGGCTTAAAAGCAAAACACAGAGACAGAACCTGGTAGATCATGGGGAGAATGGTGTGAACAGAAGAGGACAGTTCCCCTGTCCTTGTAACAGCCCACAATACTACACAGATGACATTTTCTACCAACTGAAATTTCTCCCCAACAAGTGTAGCACATGTTGCTGCAGTCCAGCTGGGAGGTGTGTGTATATACAGGACAAAGCATTTGAGCTGTACCATGTCCTGCACTACAGCGAAGTATAGTATACGGTTTATATA